AGAAAAAGCTATTTATATTTATATTGAACAAGTGATATATATAATTTTGGCTTGGTTTGGTTTGAATAAACAAGTTTGGTTTGAAGAAACAGTTTTGTTGACATATGGTGGACCTGGAAGAAATTTTTGCGGAATCTAGTATTATGAAAATGAAGATTTTTAGTTATTAACATAAATATTTGGACTTCATATCTATGTATCAAGAAAAACATTTTCTCTATATGTGATCTATCAATTAATGTGGTGAGACAAAGTTGGTGTGTGATTTGATTTCATTAGTTACTTAACTAATACATCATTTGTGTAAAACTTTTTTGTTAATTGTTACATCATTTTATTATCGGTACATCATTTAGAAGAAAACTACCACTAGTATTATAATATTTGTTTTTGGAGTTGAACATAAAATTGTATTCAATTCAAAATATTGTTTACAATTTTTGAAATATGTTGAATGTCTCTCTCAGGAGGCTGACACATGGTTGCCTTTTTTATTTTTATTTTTAACTTGTAGGCTGAAACAAATGATTAGATTCTTCAGCGTCCATTTGAATTGAATTTCGTGTGCTCTGGTAGGAAATCGAGTGAACTGATCGAGTGAAATCGCATTTCAAAATCATAGAAGAGCTTTCTAAAATCGGTATGGATCTCCCCTGTTTCATATACTCCTCCTTATGATCTTAAAACATTAGAGTTTTTGTCGTAGATATAACTTGAAAAAACAAAGTCTGACTTTGTTTCCTTTACCGGGAGACCCTTTTGCCCACGCTGTTCAGCATATCTCGATGAGATTATGGACTGTGAGGCGGCCTTCACTGAACTGGCTTGCTTGCGGAGAAGATGACACTCCTGAGAAACGAGTACAAAAGAAGCAAAGGTACATGGAAATAATGGAAACAGTGGAAAAGACCTTTATTGAGGACAAGAAGTTTGGAAACTCGTCTCTCACAGCTTCGTCTTCTTTCACATCGAAAGAGGGCAAATTGTAAACTCTCTGATCGGCGTAAGTGAGACTCTTCACTCTTGGGGGGGGGGGGGGGGTAATTTTTTGTTGTACCATATAGATATCTGATTGTCACTGTTTCTGTCTTATCGTTGGCGTGATATAGTTTTGATCTTCACTATGTATTATAGGCCTAGCTGCAGGTATGTTTCAAACAAATGTTGTAACTTCCTGAACCATGGATATATTTATGTACATGAATAATAATAACCCCATGATGTTGTTACACAGCTCTAACTTTCCCGTTATCTTACCGGAGAAATCGAGCTTTGTTACAAAGTTGGGGCAATTGAGGAGCCAGTAGGACGATCTATATCAGAGAAAGAGATTGGTGATGATAGGAGTTGCGCTTGTTGTGAAGTTAAAGCTTCTTAATTACTTAGGTAACCCTCTTATCTACCAATTTCTACCTGTTTTTCTCTTAGTTACGTATTTATGTTCACCATTTCTTCTGTTAAACTTCTCTGTTGTTGGTTGTGGTCAAACTGGTGACATTATGTGCACATATTTTGGCGGCCATAGTCAGGTTGAACATTGCTGAGTCTACTAATTTTAGCTGTTACAAATCATGGTTTGTCCTCAATTGCTAAATATATATGTCGTACCTTTCGCTGATCTTATGTCAGAATCCTATAAGACGTAACACAAGGAGTACCTTTACAAGACTAGGAACCCTTAATGGATGGTTTCTTAGGCCTCATGACAAATCACCGTAGATCACATATGCTACAAGTGGAAGAACGGACAAACTTAGAATTTCAGGTGAAAAAATAGAGGAAGCAAGAGTTAAATACAATCATTTCATTTCCTTTTTGTTTTATCTCTTACAATTTATTTCTCAATAAGCCAATTGAAGATTAGTCTAAATATGTGAATTTTTTTGCCCGGTCGCTTCAAAGGGTTGATGTGGTAGATTCACAGGTTTAAATGAAGTGAAAACTAAGCTATAAATGAAGCAAGCAGGAGTTATTAAGAGGGATGGAGCTATGGTTAATGGTCTCACAAATCTGGTGAAACTGATAATGCTTTTTAATCTTTACAACAACAAAATCTCAGAGCATTTGGCTGATTGTTATAATGATGTCTCACGAATTTTCTTTCTAATTGTTTTCGCAGTTGTCCAAGACCAAACGCAAGAGTCATTAAGCATCATGATTTGTGCTAGAGCAAACAGTTATCTCCTGAAAATATAGATGGCAGATCGAACACAACTGCACATCTTCTCAAATCTCTACATGATCCTTATGCATATCCATCACATCAATTCTTAAGGTTAATGATATTTTTTCTACTCTCCAAAAGCTTATATTTAAGAAAGAGTACATGAGGGGATATATATTTACTTTATTTGTCGTGATTGACACTAAGTTTTAACGTTTGAGTTTACAATGTCAATTCAAATTAGGAGTAAATTATTATTTTTATCTTCGATGAAGGCCATTTCAATGACGTCAAAAAACAATAGGTTTCAGAGGAAGGGCAACCAAACTTGGTGCAATCGAGAGCAAGAGAGGGCCAAGTTGAGCTTCGAACAAGCATAGTCTACACTCTAAAATTCAATCCATCATTCTTTAGTTTCTTAATGCTTTGGTATTTTGTCTTCTCTATTTTCATTTTTCCCCATGTGTCTTGACTCCTAAGTTTGTTAGTGAGAAGAAAAAAAAGATCAGGTGTAGAATCTGTAGATTTGTTTGTGTATCAAAAATTATCTCAAGTAAATTAAATGGTCAAAAAAACCTGAACTATACGGATTAAATCGAAAAAACTTTGAATTACCTACTAAATGTTTTTAGAGGCAATTACAAAAATGCCATTTTTGTGTGCACATTTGCAAGAATGCCACTTAGGGATGTCCATTTACAAAAATGCCACTAATTATAGATTTATAAAACCTATATCTTAAAATTCTAAACCCTAAAAAATGTTTTGACACCTAAAACCTTCTAAACACTCAAAACTAAACCCTAATAGAACATATTAATCCAAAGAAAAAATAATTTTGAAAAAGTGGCATTTTTGTAAAGATTTCAAAAGTGTGGCATTTTTGTAAAGTAGCATTTGAAAAATGGAATTTTTTGAAATTTCTCATGTTTTTAATC